TGAGGGGGAAGGGGGATGTCCGGTGCCTTGCTCAAGGGCACCACCGGCAGGGCAGGAGGTGAAACTGTGACCTCTCCAAGTAGCAGTCCACACTCCATATTCAGGTCTGGTCGGGGACTTGAACCTGGCGACCCTACGGCTCACAGTCCAAGCCCCTACTGACTGAGCCACTGCCGGACCTAGAACCAGGATCACATGAATATCTTAAGATTCATTTGAAAGATATTTAAACAACCACAATCCGAAATTACTTGGAGGTTATGAAAGGTTCAATATTCCTCAACAATCTGGCCAAATTGATTGTAAGTTGTTTGCAGTTTTTGGCACTAACACCCTGTTATTTGGCCCATTGCTCTCTCTCCCTGAAGGGGGCTGTGAAACCAGACACTGAAACTGAGATGAAATTAATTTGTTATTGTTGGCATTATTTCTCTCATGAATGTATGGGTTTGTGGTTTTTATTGAAGTTGTGAAAACAAAGCGGAATAAAGTAACTGTAAGACAATAAAACAAAATACAAATCTACTTAAAGTTTAGAAGAGGTACAATCATCACCAAATGATCACGTTTTGTGCAGTTTTAGACACCTGTTTTTTGGCATTAAATGGCCTGTTGCTGCTCTCTCCCAGCTGAGGGCGCTGTGTCTCTTCATATCTTCACCCTGTGAGTCACGTGATCGGTCCAGCTGGTTTCCCAGCATGTGAGACGCAGACGGCCAGCACCTCCATCAGCACCGATAACACTCAGACCCACGATAAGCCCGAGAGTCTAGATAAATGCTGCTGGAGGCAGTTAGAGGGAGGTGACAAAGTGACATGTTGTTTTAAAGATGGTGCTCTGTGGCATGATCCCAAGCTGAGCCTTATCCCTCTCACAGAGCTTCGTTAAGCAGAGCATCTCTGAAATGTCCCTGAACAACAGGTGAAGAAACATGAATATACAGAATACAGACAGGTTGAAACGGCTACTTCTGCACAATAACACCAAGCATTAAAAGGCATAAGGACAGTAAAACATGTAAGATACAATATAAAACAAAAGGAAATCGCAGTCTACTTTAAGAGGCACTATTCTGCTTTTTGGGGTTTCCCTCTCCTGTAGTGTGTTGTTTTCTGTGCAGGTAAATGGTCGCAAAGGCTGACATCACTATGTAAACACTTGCGCTTCTATTGGCTAGCAATCCAACATATTGTACTTGATAGACTAAGGGGCGGGACATCTCTAAGCAGTTGACCAATCACAACAGAGCCGGCCAGCTAACCAATCAGAGCAGACTGGCTCTGGGTTTCAGACAGAGGGTTGAAAAGAGGTGCTTGCAGCACAGGCAGTAAAGTAGAGACAGACAGCAGGAGGGGACTCTTTAAAGTAGAGACACTACATACTGATATACACCTGAACATCAGCAGAGAGGACTCTTTAAAGTAGAGAACCACTACATACTGATAGTACACCTGAACATCAGCTGGAAGAAGGACTCTTAAAGTAGAGATGCTACATACTGATATACACCTGAACATCAGCAGGAGAGGACTCTTTAAAAGTAGAGACACTTACATACTGATATACACCTGAACATCAGCAGGAGAGGACTCTTTAAAGTAGAGACACTACATACTGATATACACCTGAACATCAAGCAGGAGAGGACTCTTTAAAGTAGAGACAATACATACTGATATACACCTGAACATCAGCAGGAGAGGACTCTTTAAAGTAGAGGACACTACATACTGATATACACCTGAACATCAGCAGGAGAGGACTCTTTAAAGTAGAGGCACTACATACTGATATACACCTGAACATCAGCAGGAGAGGACTCTTTAAAGTAGAGACACTACATACTGATATGACACCTGAACATCAGCAGGAGAGGACTCTTTAAAGTAGAGACACTACATACTGATATACACCTGAACATCAGCAGGAGAGGACTCTTTAAAGTAGAGACACTACATACCTGATATACACCTGAACATCAGCTGGAGGGGACTCTTTAAAGTAGAGATGCTACATACTGATATACACCTGAACATCAGCAGGAGAGGACTCTTTAAAGTAGAGACACTACATACTGATATACACCTGAACATCAGCAGGAGAGGACTCTTTAAAGTAGAGACACTACATACTGATATACACCTGAACATCAGCAGGAGAGGACTCTTTAAAGTAGAGACACTACATACTGATATACACCTGAACATCAGCAGGGAGAGGACTCTTTAAAGTAGAGACACTACATACTGATATACACCTGAACATCAGCAGGAGAGGACTCTTTAAAGTAGAGGCACTACATACTGATATACACCTGAACATCAGCAGGAGAGGACTCTTTAAAGTAGAGACACTACATACTGATATACACCTGAACATCAGCAGGAGAGGACTCTTTAAAGTAGAGACACTACATACTGATATACACCTGAACATCAGCAGGAGAGGACTCTTTAAAGTAGAGACACTACATACTGATATACACCTGAACATCAGCAAGAGAGGACTCTTTAAAGTAGAGACACTACATACTGATATACACCTGAGCATCAGCAGGAGAGGTTCTCTTTAAAGTAGAGATGCTACATACTGATATACACCTGAGCATCAGCAGGAGAGGACTCTTTAAAGTAGAGACACTACAGACTGATATACAAAATAAACGAGGTGCGGATTATTTATTTGTGAAACGGTGCAGAGGATCTAAGAGATCTCAAATAATTAGTAACTACACCATTAAAAGCTTCATAAAATAAGCAAAAATAATTGTAAACGTAGTTATACTCGGGTGATATTTAATACCTTCTTGTTATAGCCTGGAAGCAATAAAAAAAAAAAAAACCATCCTCTCTTTTCTACTTTCTTCAGGCGGTCATTGGGCGGACAGTCTGTGATGTGATGACTCCCTGCTGTGCTTCCAGGTGCTTCTCTCTGATTGAACCTGCAAGTCATTAAAACATATTCTGTGTGTGCTTCACAGGACCAGGAGCTGTTCTTCTTCCACGACCTCAGCCCTGGAAGCTGCTTCTTCCTGCCCAGAGGAGCGTTCATCTACAACACGCTGACCGATTTCATTCGGGTAAGAGAGGAGGCCGAGTGCACATCACCTGCCCCTCTGTTTACACACAGTTTCAAATAATTAACCCCTACTTCTGGTTTATGCCTTTTTTATTTGTCTGTAAAGAGTTTTTGAGTACAAGGAAAAGTGCTATAAAAATACCTCTGTTGTAATATTGGAATTAAGAAACACCTTCATGCCGATCTAGATCCCTCCGCTTCGCGTCGGGCTCCTGATCAGCCTGTCGGTGTTCTTTTCCCCATAATGACCGTGTCGCTGCACATTAACCCTTACTTATAAAACGGACAAGTCAAATCAAGCAATCTGATTGGTTCTTAGTCGTGATATACTGAGCGTATACCACGGGTAGAATTGTAAGTTACTTTTCACAACAAGTCAGTATCCCTCCGCGTCTGAGAAAAACAGTATACCGTTGGGCTGAAAAGCATGCTTTTCAAACTGGAACAAGAAAGCAGCGGAGAAGTAACGGGGCAGAAAAAAAAATTCAGTGTGCAGTTCCTTTGGCATTAGGGCAGGGATATCTAGATACTTTCCAAGGTTTGACACATAGACTGGGGTTTGACATAATGAATTGTGCTACTTTTAAAGCAAGCAACTATGTTTTCAAATCTGTAATCAAAGAGGTCCGCAAAAACACTATCGACCGATCAGATTGCTTGATTTGACTTGTCAGTTTTATAAATATATTTACATTTCTTCCGTTACGAAACAAACTTACAAAGCATAAGATGGAAACATTTAAGATTAAGTTCGACCTCCGGGGGGGTCTTACTATGGAGGAGTGGATTGAGGAGGAGTGCCTATCTTCAGAAAAAAAAGCACCTAAACGACGACATGCAGAGCTACGAGAAGAGCAGGTAGACCAACTGGAAAAGTACCACCGTTCAAAAGCTTTCTGAAACGCTTCGCGTTGGGCCGAACCACGCCCCTTAGCTGTGATATAATGAGCATATACCACGGCCTGTCGTGAGCTATTGCTTAAATATAAATAAACGTTGATTGATTGATTGATTGATTGATTGATTGATTGATTGATAAAGAAAGTGCAGCAGAGAGCAGGAGTTTGCTAAAAAAAGGCTAAATTGTACAAATGTGTTTTGAGTTTTTATTTAAAAACTTCACTTTTTGTAAAGACATTCATCCATTTTTAATCAATTCAATCTAATATATTACAAAACTATAGCAACCTGCACCGTAGGCACATATAACCAGGGTTGGGAGGGTTACTTTGTAAATGTAATTAGTTACTGAATACATGGCTCTGAAAGTAATCCGAATACAGTTACGTGTCTTAAAAAACGTATTAAGATTACTTTTAGAATATTTTCTTTTTCCATAACAGATGGGTATGTTTTGGTGAACAGGAGACACGTATTTTACTGTTTTAATGGCTTATCAAGAACTCAAACACAACATCTTGGTGTCATTCTGGACAGCTCCCTCTCATCTGCACCCCACATAAAAAACATCACCCGGACTGCATTCTTTGTACTGTCTTAAACCTTTCCTTAGAATATGTTATGAGTTGTAAGGTGTCCTTGGGTGCTATGAAAGGCTCCCCTAAATAGAATGAATTATCATTATTATTGATTATTATTATCTGAAACAATGTAATAACTTTTTTAACTTTTTCTAGTCACTTGCCCCATGCATTGAGCAGCAGCAGGCCATTCACTTTGATTTGATCCCGTTACATCATCATTTCGACAATAAAGAAATTCTACATAAACGTTATCTTGCACATTTTATCGAACCATCTCCGTTTCTAACTTTCAATATATTTTAAAAGAGATCTCTCTCTCTCACTGTGTGCGGGGGCGGGTCTCTCTCTCTCTCGCTCTCGCGCTCTCTCGCTCTCGCTCTCTCGCTCTCGCTCTCTCTCTCGCGCTTTCTCTCTCTCTCTCTCGCTCTCTCTCGCGCTCTCTCGCTCCTCTCTCGCTACCGTCTCTCGCTCCCGTCTCTCTCTCCGCTCCATCGCTCCTCTCGCGGTCCCTACCTCTCTCTCTCTCTCTCTCTCTCTCTCTCTCTCTCTCTCTCTCTCTCTCGCTCTCTCTCTCTCTCTCGATCTTTCTCTCTCTCTTGCGCTCTCTCGCGCTCTCTAGCGCTCTCTCTCTCTCGCGCTCTCTCGCGCTCCTCTTCGCGCTCTCTCGTGCGGGTCTCGCGCTCTCTCGCTCTCTCTCTCTCGCTCTCTCTCGCTCTCTCTCTCTCTCGCGCTCTCTCGCGCTCTCTCGTGCGGTCTCTCTCGCTCTCTCTCGCGCTCTCTCGCGCTCTCTCGAGCGGTCTCGCGCGCTCTCTCGCTCTCTCTCTCGCTCACAGACACGCTGCAGCGCCGTGCACACAGATCTGCCGGTAATGAATATTACATTTTGTGAGGAAACCTTTCCACCAATAATTCCAATAAGTATTCCAAAATGTATTTACTTCAGGTTTACGAAAGTAACTATAATGAATACAGTTACTTGATGTTTGTATTCTGATTATGTAACGCCGTTAAATGTATTCCGTTACAACCCAACCCTGCATATAACTTGCATGTATTTATATATCATTATAATATTAATAATTTGTTCATATATGTAAACCGTTTAACACGATTGTTTTTATTTTAATATATACCGTGCATTTGTATTCCTTTTTCTTCTTGTAAATAATTAGCCGATCATATCATTGCTGAAGCCAGAATGAGAAGAGCTCAGGAGATGTTGTATAATTATATGTTTACCTTCCTAGAGAAGTAATCGCTCATATGACATTGTTTTTAAATGTTACCGTGACCTCAAGCTTCTTGTTTTTTAGGCGTGGTTAAAAAACATATTCCTGAATGAGTCATGATCACTGAACAGCTATTTAGAAATTGAGCAAATTGTAATTATCTTAAGAAGTACTGTAGAGATGCTGAAAAACAAAAACGAGGCTCAGGAGTAGTTGTAAACTTGAGCTCATTGACATGCATAACACAAACACTGTACTTTTAGAAAATGTGTAATCACCAGAGAGAAGAACGTCTGAATTATTGACTGAACTTTTTAACTCAGTCTTTCAGCCAAGAACAGATACCGTGACAAGCTGAACATAATAACATCTTGAGTGTCAGAACCAAAAATGTCAAGATTATATATTTAGATTGTTGTGAGATTTCAGCAGCAGAGCAGGCTTCTCTAAAGTAATGAATCATGTGTCTTATTGGACTCATCGAAACATAATTTGAAGGTGTTTCTATTTTTTAGAAAGGACTGTACATTTCCACATGCAAGGCCGGATTAGTACCTCCAGGGGCCCCTGGGCACTGAGCACTCATGCCCCCCCCCAACCCACGTACCAACAAGTAACACCACGCCTACCCAATCCTACCAACATGACCAAGATTTAGAATTTTCAGTCAATCCGGCATGTCAAATCGCACACCTATTTGTCAAAAGCAGAGACGCAGCCACATAGTTCAACCAAAGTAGGTCTAGCCTTTTGCCCTTTCAGTCAAAAATCACAAGACAAAGATACAATGGATAAGATCTCAAGACAGTGTATGGCTCAAGAAGGCCTAGGTAATATCAATCAAAACCTCAGAGCAGCACCCCACTTAATGCCAAAATATGACTGGCTGGCTGTACAAGAACACGAGGAGTTCTATCAGTCACAAACATTGAGAGTTACAAAAGTAAAATATGTAGTGAAATTGTGTGGTTGCTCAAGCGTGGGGCTGTGATTCGGCTATACACCGCCGCCGCGTAGTAATAAAGTTGAGCGCATACATAGTGAGACCTACAGTACAGAGACCTACAGTAATTTGACCCTATAGAAAAGCTGTGTTATTTATGGCGAAGAGTGAGTGTAATTTAAAATAATGTACAATGAGTGAGGTTGCGCCCGCAAAAAAAAAAAAAAAATATATATACTTTTTATCTTTTCACTGAGGGCCCTCTTTGCTCAAGGGCCCATGGGCACTTGCCCAGGTTGCCCATATGGTTAATCCGGCCGTGTCCACATGTGGTAATATGTTTAAATGATGGGCCAAAGTTCTCAGTTAAAGGAATACTTCACTCACAAAATGATTATCTGTATAACATTGATATTATCACATGTCATTTGTTAGTCGCTTTTATCCAAAGCGACTTACATACTCAATACTGTGGACAATCCCCACAGGAGCAATTTGGGGTGAAGTGTCTTGCCCAGGGACACAACGACATGCTGACTGCAGCGGGACTTGAACTTGCTATCTCCTGATTTGATATCATTTTAATCTCACCCAGTGTAACCTTGAATTCTTGCAACACACTTGACTTTTTCACGAGAAAATCTAAGCTTTCGTCATGAGTTCCAGAGTTTTTAGTGGTCAAAAGTTGCTCAAACTTCAGTGTGACGGTACAGAAAGTTGTGTGTGAAATATCTGCAGAGATGTGTCGACATCTTGAAGCTTTCACAGCACACACCAACACACACCAACACACACACACACACACTAACACACATTAACACACACCGGACCGAGCCAAGGAGAGCACATTGCACAGAAACGGTGCAAGATCATTATCACATCACTTCAGTCTGTTAACGCTGTGTAAAAAAAGCTGAAACTTTTAACACTGAGGGGTTTTACTGATGGGTTGGCTTCTCATCACTGGAATTGGAGAGATATTCAAGTTTCTAAATATAGCTAAATTATATTTATCCAGGTGCTTCATTTTTTAAAAGCTCCTTCCTGTTTCCTATTCACTTCCACATGGCTAAAATATTTCAAGTAATCAGTCTTCTGTTTTTGTCAGCCAAGGAGCTCAACGTGCCATGAAACTGTTTTGCTTAAGAAAAACAAATAAAACCTACCGGATCTGATTTCCGTTGAAGTAGCTGAAGATCCATGCCAGAAATAATGATTCAAGCTCTCCAGAAAAGTACCTGAGTGTGAGTCCAGATGGCTGTGTGTCACTTGTTTATGTGGTTTTGTTGTTTTCCTAGGAAGAGTACTGGAGAAGAGGCTTCCAGGAAGTAGCCTCCCCCAACATCTTCAACAGTAAACTGTGGGAGACGTCTGGCCACTGGCAGCACTACAGCGACAACATGTTCTCCTTCCCCGTGGAGGACGACATCTTCGCTCTGAAACCCATGAACTGCCCCGGGCACTGGTAAATAAAACCTCTCTCCAAAAATCAAACAGTACATATATTTTATAACCCTCCTTTGGTGTTAGTTGTTCCGCCTCTTGTTGCTCCGGGGCTGTTTTTAAAGGTCACCTATTATGCAAAATCCACTTGTTCATGTCTCTTCTACATCAACATGTGTCCCCTCTTCTTCATGTCTCTTCTACATCAACATGTGTCCCCTCTTCTTCATGTCTCTTCTACATCAACATGTGTCCCCTCTTCTTCACGTCTCTTCTTCATCAACATGTGTCCCCTCTTCTTCATGTCTCTTCTACATCAACATGTGTCCCCTCTTCTTCATGTCTCTTCTACAATCAACATGTGTCCCCTCTTCTTCATGTCTCTTCTACATCAACATGTGTCCCCTCTTCTCCATGTCTCTTCTACATCAACATGTGTCCCCTCTTCTTCCTGTCTCTTCTACATCAACATGTGTCCCCTCTTCTTCATGTCTCTTCTACATCAACATGTGTCCCCTCTTCTTCATGTCTCTTCTACAATCAACATGTGTCCCCTCTTCTTCATGTCTCTTCTACATCAACATGTGTCCCCTCTTCTTCATGTCTCTTCTACATCAACATGTGTCCCCTCTTCTTCATGTCTCTTCTACATCAACATGTGTCCCCTCTTCTTCATGTCTCTTCTACATCAACATGTGTCCCCTCTTCTTCCATGTCTCTTCTTCATCAACATGTGTCCCCTCTTCTTCATGTCTCTTCTCATCAACATGTGTCCCCTCTTCTTCATGTCTCTTCTACATCAACATGTGTCCCCTCTTCTTCATGTCTCTTCTACATCAACATGTGTCCCCTCTTCTTCATGTCTCTTCTACATCAACATGTGTCCCCTCTTCTCCATGTCTCTTCTACATCAACATGTGTCCCCTCTTCGCCATGTCTCTCGTACAGCAACATGTGTTCCCCTCTTCTTCATGTCTCTTCTACATCACATGTGTCCCCCTCTTCTTCATGTCTCTTCTACATCAACATGTGTCCCCTCTTCTTCATGTCTCTTCCACATCAACATGTGTCCCCCTCTTCTCATGTCTCTTCTACATCAACATGTGTCCCCTCTTCTTCCATGTCTCTTCCACATCAACAGTGTCCCCTCTTCTTCATGTCTCTTCTTACATCAACATGTGTCCCCTCTTCTTCATGTCTCTTCTACATCAACATGTGTCCCCCTCTGTGGAAAGAGACTCTGAAAGTTTCAGGAACAAAGATTCTCTCTCTTTTTGATCCATTTCTATAAAAACCTGTCTGAAAATGAGCTGATCAGATTTGGCCACTTTATATGATGGTCATATAAACGATGTTTTGGCTTGAGTAACCATTAGCCAATCAGCAACCAAGGTAACCCCCCCCCCACCTTATCACCTGAATCTCCTCCTAGAGCACCATTGTGTTCTTTTTAACCAAATAGCCGCTTTCACATCAAGCACTTTGCCGTATTTAGTTCCCAGCACTTAGTACCCCCATGGAACTAAGAGCCGATCGCGTTCACACCGGAATAAGTTCCCTGAGGGAAGATTATGCAAATAAAGCGGCTGACGTCACTTCTTCTTCTTCTTCTTCTTCTTCTTCTTCTTCTTCTTCTTCTTCTTCTTCTTCTTCTTCTTCTTCTTCTTCTTCTTCTTCTTCTTCTTCGGGTTTACTGGCAGGCCGCAAACAACTTCACGGCGTATACTGCCACCCGAAGTCCCCGGAGTTGTGGACTGGCTCCAGCTTCAGCTGGGAGTCCCAGCAGCTTCTACTGAAGCCTTCCGAGTAAATCGCCAGAATGCCGACACCTCCTCATCTCCACCGCTCCCATGTTTTCTTTTGTGTTGCCATAAGTTAGTTTCTCTGCGTTGGTGCGCTGGGCTAATGCTAATAATGCTAATGGCAGCAAATACAATGGCGGCTTCAAAAAACGTTTCAGTTTTACGGGGCGTGGTTTGCAATCCGCCCAGCCAATCAGAAATGGTACTTTTTCTCCCCAGAAAAGTCCCACCTCTCTAGCAGGCACTAAAAATGGGGGTAAAAGTTCTCTGAACTAAGTTCTCTGAACTAAGTTCTCTTTTTGGTGTGAACGCAAAATTCCAGGCACTAACGGAACTAAACGGGAAAAGTACGGGGAAAAGTACTCCGGTGTGAAAGCGCCTAATCTCTCTCAGAGGGGCGTGGGGAGGGGCTCCTTATTTTCATCTAAAGTAACAGACAGAGAATCAGCACTTTTGAAACAGGGCTGAAACAGAGGGGATTATGGGTAATGCTGAAATGATCTGTTTGGTGTTTGGAGCCAAACACTTCAGAGACATGTTTTGTATATATCTGAGACCTTTAATATATTGATGAAAAACAGTATAATAGGGGACCTTTAACTGCTCTTACATTAACACAAAAACCACGAAACGTCACTACATTTTATTTTGCAACCTTTGAAGCTGTAAACAATGTCTCAGATACTGGTTCACATGAATAACTGCAGTGAATAGACAATGTAAATGTATTCCAAAATTAACATTGTGTTGATTTGTGATTGTTTGTATCTGATGGATTAACATTATCTAGGGTTTCCCATTCATTTCCTATGACCGGGAACACTAACAGTGTTACAAAGTGGACTAAACCACTCACAATTCAATGGAAGTGGTGTGTTATATCTTCAAATGCATACTGTGGAGGATATCATAAGGCCTTGTAGTAATCAAATGTAAAACACAATATTTATGATTGATGAAAGTAGGAAATTGGCCCGATTCGACCCGATAAACGACATGAGGGTTAAAGCAGTCTCTGTTGTTTTGACTCCCTGCTCTCTGGTCGTCCTTCCCCCCTCGGTGGATCAATACAGTTCCATCTTCTTCTTCTTCATCTTCTTCTTCCTGCAGTCTGATGTTCAGCCACAGGCCTCGCTCGTGGAGGGAACTTCCTCTGAGGTTTGCAGATTTCGGGGTCCTCCACAGGAACGAGCTGTCGGGAACACTGACCGGTTTAACCCGTGTGAGGCGCTTCCAGCAGGACGACGCTCACATCTTCTGCACCATGGAGCAGGTGATCACTCTATCAGCGTTTACAAGGGGTTTGATACAAGCGGGAGGTCTTTGAAAATACAAAAAGCCATATTTAAATAGCTTTTCTACATTTTTTTACATACAGAAGTCAGTATTCACTCATTCACACACATTCATTCAGAGGCTGACATGCAAGGTGCCACCAGATAACTGTAATTTGGCCATTGAATAAACATCTTTAATTTTAACATTAAAAAAACATTTTAGAAACGACCAGCTATTAATGAGTCAATTATATATTTCTGAATCCTTCTTCTCCCGACAGATCGAGTCGGAGATGAAGGGCTGTCTGGATTTCCTCCGCTGCGTCTACAACGTGTTCGGATTCTCCTTCCAGCTGCACCTGTCCACGCGCCCAGAGAAATATCTGGGAGACATCGCCGTGTGGAACCAGGCGGAGAAGGTAAACTGCATCGAAAGTGTGAAATATGGTGGGAAAATTAACTTAAAAGTAGATGAGAGACACTCTTATTACTCTTTTAAAAATGCACAGCTTTTACACTTTGAATTCTTATTAGTCATGTCTTTCTGTACCTCCTTTTTCATATTTTGTATGTTTGTATTGCTTGGAGACATTTCTTTATATTTGTAATTTTTATATATTTTCCAAATTATCTCTATATTTGCTCCTTTTTCACAACTAAATTCCTCCTACTGAGATAATGTATACACCATTATACAACAACGCAAATTCCTTGTATGTGTAAACCTGATTCTGATTCGGTGGTACATATTATAAAATGCCGGGACATAGAGTCGTGCAGTGTCGCGTCCTAAAACCCGGAAGTAAACTCTTTCCGGTTCCTTCGACAAAACGCAATTTCTCCATAGGATTTTGGAAAATAGCTGGAAATCAGGTCTGTGGTTGAGACACATTTAAGAGACGGGTCACGTTTTGTTCAGCCGGATAATCTCCATGTCTACCCTACTTTTATAATTTTCTAATCATAAATCTAGTCGCGAGAAGCAAAATGCTAACGTTATGCTATAAAGGAAGTACAGCAGGGTCGCTGCTTCAACGTCACGCCAACTTAAGATCCATATTCAAAACTCAGATTCAAAATGGTACAAGTTGAAGCTTTTGTTTTAACAGTTAGCAGGAGGCAGAGACTTGCTTTCAAGCAGAACAGGGCAAACAAACTTAGAGGAGTGTTTACGTGTTCGGTGTAATGACGTAAAACGGCCTCGACAACTTCTGTAGTCCTATTCAGCCACTTGGTAACAACCATCGTTTTTCAGACTCGTCAACTCTTCAGCGGGGTCACTGCTGATGGATTTAATGTCGTAGAACAAAACGTGATCCGTCTCTTCAACGTGTCTCAACCACAGACCTTATTTCCAGCTATTTTCCAAAATCCTATGGAGAAATCCCATTGCTTTTTGTCGAAGGAACCGGAAGTGGTAAGATGCTAACTTACTTCGGGGTGCCACTGTGGCACTCTATTGCTGCACCTTTTAGTTTTAAGCAAATAATTAAAATAATATAGCACGGATGATCAAAGAGTTGGTTGCTTGCTTTTCTGATCGTACAGTGGCTCATAGAGGAATTATTTATTCATTTGGCAAAACTAAGAAGAGATCAATTCTTGCCTTTTTTTGTTCAACAAATGTAAGCTCCATTTAATTTTAAGAAACGGTTGAATAGTTTTTTAGTCACTCTCAGGTCTGACATTACTGATTTGCAAGATAATGCTCCGTATAATACAGCAAAACTTGGGAGGCACTTTAAATACATGAAGAAATGGCTTGGTCTGGGGGTCTCTAAGTGTCTCTCCTAAAGTCTTAGCTATCATGCTCAGCAATCTTTCTCATGTTATGTTCTTTTTTGATCATTTCGTGCCAGTCATCTTGCTCATATTTTCCTTCTGCTCCACCTCCTGTTTGTGGGCATCTTGCATGAACAATTATGTGCATTTTGGATCCGTATTAAGTCTGACCTTTTGTAACGTTTTGTACCATTATTGTTATGACTTTTTTATAATAGAATATAAACTCAAAGAATATCTAGTTGTTATTCCAACTGAGTGGGTGCACAATAGGAGGTTAAAGGCTCCAGTAGTGGTATCAGATCTGTGAGTGTGGGAGGCGTGTTGTCAATAAAAGGAAAGCTCTTTGTTTCACTTGATTTTAATTGTTTATTTTGCACAGTTGGAAATTGCTCAAAGGGGACCTATCATGCAAAATGCACTTTGTGATGTCTTTTATACATAAATACGTGTCCCCCGGTGCGTCGGGGAACTCACGCAGCTTCAGAAAATAAAACCCTCTCTCTTTTCCTCCGTACCCAAATCTTTAAAAACGGGTGTACAACGAGCGGATACAGATTCCATCCGAACTGACGTGTCCATCCGTGCTGACGTCGGCGGACCCACAGAAAGTTGCTATCAGAAACAATGCCTGACGTGTTTTGGACGTAATATGGTATTTTTTTTCGCTAATACTCAGAGCTAACCTGTACTGGAGAGCACATGTGTTTTAAAAAGCAGGAAATAAAAAAAGGAACTGACCTTGTGATAAACCCGCAAGAGAACATTTGCATTTGTGATCCATACTGTTTCAAAAATAACCCTTGATGTGGTTTAGAACAGGATGGCGTTTTATCACAACCGAATTTAACTTTATCTCCGGTAGAATTCTGATCAGGCATTAGCTCCTCCTCCTTCTTCTTTTCTTTTTTTCAAGCTAAGGACCCAAGATCTGCTTTTCTCTAACAGGGCTTCAAAAGAGGGGTATGAGCAGTATGAGGCATGGCTACAATGGGTGATCTGTTTGGTATTTTGAAAAAAAAACTTCACAGACATGTTTTGTATAGGTATGGCCCTACAATATATGTTTCAAATATAGCATGATAGGTCCACTTTAAGGTCTTTACTTAAAAAGTGAAAGGGCAGTGGGTCGTGCAAACTGAACTACAGTTTGACTTGGCTTGCTTCACAGAGTTTTCCTTTTATTCTCTTGTGTTGTAAGTATATATTAAATGCGTGCCTCATGTGTTTTGACAGCAACTGGAGAACAGTCTGAATGACTTTGGGGAGCCATGGAAACTGAACCCTGGAGACGGAGCTTTTTATGGACCTAAGGTCAGGAAAACGTAACAATTCCTGCTAAATGCAAAATGAATTGTATCTCGAGGGTCTGTAAAGTGTGATTGTGCATTCCTTGCTGCTGCAGATTGACATTAAGATCAAAGATGCGATTGGACGTTACCATCAGTGTGCGACCATTCAACTGGACTTCCAGCTGCCAATCCGCCTCAACCTGACCTTTGTGGGGTGAGTCAGCTGATGAGAACATGCTGCGTCCGTGTGCTTTAGTGCACTCAGGGTTACATGTTAGTCCCTTCATGAATAACAAGGCTCATGAGTCATGTGTTTAAGAGCTAAAGAGTCCTATAGAAATATATAAGAACTCATTGAGCAGGCAATTAGTTTTCTTTCTATTCAAATCATTCAACATTAAACCAGCCACTTCATACAGACAAGTACACACGTCAGTTTAATTGGTTGCGCAGAGAGTTTACAGAGAAAACAGCTGTTGATTGAGTTATCCAATCACATTGCCCCTGGTTAAAGAATATCAAGGCAATTTAACTATAAACGTTACTATAAACAAGCTCCAAAACAAATAAAAACAATTGGAACTATTTTCAAGTCTTAAAGTGCACCTATCATGCTATTTTTAGGGAATAGCATAGGTCTCAAAAAATTGATACAAAATAAAAAAGGAAGGGGCTGAGCTCATGCGGGACCCGGCAGCTACTGTCTAAACTAAATGCTGCCGTGATGAAACACCATATCATGGATCATCAAGGATTCTCTCTGAAACAGTTTGGAGCTCAAAGGCTTTCTCTCTTGCCGGTTATACCACAAGGTGAGTTCCTTTTTACTTCCTGCTTCTTCACACACATGCTCTCCAGTACAGGTTAGCTCTGAGTGTTAGCGATGCTAATGTAAACACCGACCATATTACGTCCAAAACAGTCGGGCATTGTTTCTGATAGCAACGTTTCTAATAGGCCCGTGGGTCCACATTTCAGATATTACGTCATATCGGACGCAAATCTGGATCAGCTCCGTTGTAGCCCCGTTTTTAGAGATTTGGGTACGGAGGAAAAGAGAGAGGGGTTTATTTTCTGACGCTGCGTGAGTTTCCCGACACACCGGGGACACATATTTATGTATAAAAGACATCACAAAGTGCATTTTGCATGATAGGTCCCCTTTAAGATAGTAATAAGAAGACACCCACAGGGGCCAAAACAATAAGCATTACCAAAAATGAAAAGTAATAATAATGTTTTACACGTACACATACAAATCGGAATAATATTGCCATGACATAATTTTTTTAAGATGAACCAAAAAACTCAATATTTCTTTATTAGCACCTCAAGAAAACCCACTTGTTAACCCAGCATGTAAAATGATGCACATACAATCAGATATACAGCAGGTAGTAAGTACAGTTTAAAGTACTATTTGCATGTTTTAAATTGTGTTTTGTGTATATGTACCTTTTGCTTTACTTTGGAGAAAACAATTACACATTTCGAGTCGATTCAATCTAAACTCATGTAGGTCTAAACAGCCTGTGTTCAATACTTGTTTCTTGCGAGATATCTCGAGAGATTGTGGAAATAAAGTGATTTCTTGTGACATCTCTCCCTGACTAAATTTCAGGACGGACGGAGACGATAAAGCCCGACCGGTCATCATCCATCGGGCCATCTTAGGCTCGGTGGAGCGGATGATCGCCATCCTCACTGAGAACTACGCAGGGAAATGGTGAGGGGCTTCCCATCTGTTCTATACAATTAATAGCTTCATTTAATAAGTTGAGATTTAGATATCATTATTCGAGATGTTACTCTCAGGTTCTTTGGGTTTTAGGCCTTCCTTTGTAAAGTCTGTCTGTCAGGCTTGAGGCTCACAGAGGACACATCGCATCATTTATTTCCTTTCTTTGTCTTCATTTAAGATAAGATAAGATAGTACTTTATTGATCCCAATTTGGGAAATGTTTGCGTTGCAGCAGCATAAAAAGACATGGCATTGTACAATAAAAATTCAAGACAAGAAATAAACAAGAAAGTAGAAAATATACATGTTGAATTTACAAGGTTATGACAGATGGAATATTAAATATTGAACAGATGATATGGGGTGGGGTTATCCATGATGGACAACAGCCTGTTCAGTGTCCTCCTCTCCACCACAGCTTCAAAGGGGTCCAGCTTGATGCCGATGACAGACCCAGCTTTCCTGATCAGTTTATTGATCCTGCTGGTGGTGTCACCGGCTCTGATGCTGCCCCCCCCAGCAGACCGCAGCAGTCTTTTAAACAGAGTCTACTCACATCCAGTTTAACTCATGCCTATTGATGTTAAAAATCGTAAATGGTGTTAAGATTTTAGAATGAAAATACATGCATACATTTATTTTGAATTGTTTTGCTTTTATATTGATTTTTGTCTTAACAGTTACAATACGATTTGACAAACAACTATAACACATTACAGGAAAGGGAAAACCCCAAAGCATAAAAGGGCCTCCAACTATACCTAATGAAAACAAAGGAAACATTTGCATCGTCCTGCCACGCTGTGTAACATTATAACCACTCTCCTTTCTTGCACATTTTAAACATCCCAGTATCATAAATATTTCACAAAGTCGTCGTACTTTTTCTCTGCCAAACATAGGTAAATATATCCATCCTGTATATTGCTGTAGAGATTGCTTTCCTACAGTCTGTCTCCGTCCTACACAGCAGTCTCTGTAGAAAGACCTATCTTTTCACATTGGCTTTTGTTTCCCCTCGAGATGTGTGTGAAGTGTTCTGTTATTACGTCTGTTCCTTTCAGGACTCCACGTGGTCTGTGTTTTGTTTTTATGTTGACCTTACATTTCTGCCTCATGTGGTTATTGTATTCATGTTTCTGTGGTCTTGATTGTAACTTTTGTTCTTACTTGTGAAGCACTGAAGGTGCTATACTAAGTACACTTATTATTATTATTACAGGCCTCTGTGGCTCTCTCCTCGTCAGGTGATGGTCGTGCCCGTCAACACGTCCTTTGAGGATTATGCAAAGAAAGTATGTCCTATTCTTCTCCATCTTAACCACATGTCACAGGAGTGCCTCAGATTTGTGTAATGCTGAACCATAAATGTTGTTCTCAGGTGTGTGAGCAGTTTACAAAAGCTGGCTTCATGGCGGATGCTGACCTCGACTCCGGCTGTCTGCTGAACAAGAAGATCCGCAATGCTCAGCTGGCCCAGTATAACTTTGTTCTAGGTGAGAAAATAAATATGTAGGAGCTCTGAGATGAGAAGATGTTTATCCTGCGTTTGCTGCTATCTTTAAAAACACAGTTATTCCTGACTCCCACAAGAATTTGGTCTGTTTTAAAGACAGTTTTATATCACGTTATTATACATGATAGGAAGAACATGACAGGTCAAAACAAACACTACAACCAGTGGCGTTTTTATATGTACAAAAGTGGTGGGGCACGAACAACTTGTAGTTAGGTGTGTATAAGCTTCTGGTGGCTGAAGCTTATATATACGGGTATAAGGAAAACACAGACATTCATCACAAGGTCACAATATCAATCGATTCAGCAGAGCAATAGCCTGTAGGCAAAACACAGAAGATCAACAAAAGATATGATAAAATGAACTTACCAAAGCTGAAGTAGATGGTCAACTTCATTCACTTTCTTTCCGTTTTACTGATTGTAATCGCTATACGCTGCTCTCTCTCTCGTCCCCTCTTCACTACAAGGTGAAAACTACACTTTTCGCGGCACATGTACTTACAGCCAATCAGCTCTCTGAATTATGAGATGACGTTTGGTTGGTATGCACAGTGCCCCTATGGTGATTATGCCACACACATTGAATAGAAAAATACTCTCAGAGCAGTGTAGTTTTTACAGCACCCATTCACTTAGACAGTGAGAGAGAGGGGCTAGATTGGGGTTTGACCCACGTCGATCAAAACGGCTCAATAGGCACACTGTAGACACTAATTAGAAGAACGCAGACTAAAAAAGCAATGTACAGACGAATCAGATCATAAACATGATCTTAAAATATATTTTAAGATGTATTTCTTTTGCATTTATTTGGAATTCTTATTTGAATTACTTTCTGCTGACACTAGCCCCACCTGCCCCTAATGACCAGTCGCCACTGACTACAACACACTTTACATCTTGTGGTGTGGGCGTGTTTATTGGCAAAAGTACAGGTCCGTTTTTTGTGAGTCTTTACATAACTGTAGAGAAGCAAAGGGGGGAGGATTTTATAACATGGAAAGATGAAAGAATATGTTTACAGAAACAATAAAAGAAGGTAGGCAAAAAAAGAATGTCCTCGCTGGATTTGGTTAATGACATCCTTTGGTCCAAACATTTTATTCATCCAAAATGGTTGCCCTGCTGTGTGAGGCTTTCCTTTAGCAGCCCCCATTATTCTATGTATTGTATTTATTTTGGGTATGTACTATGTAGGGTGTCTTTCTCCCTTTTGTAATGCTGGCTCTGGAGTCTATTTGTAACTTAGGAGACACCGTAGTGTCGAGGGAGGAAGTATGCTGCTGTATGTGCTGCTCTATATACGTATGTTTAGTGGCTGTAAATGTAAAGGATTACACCGTACAACAATTGAGCATTTAGTAACAGCGTCAGTGAAGATAAGGCAACTAAAACAAGTGAAATATCAATTATTGGGCATGTTAAAGTCCATATTTTACCCTGCCGGCAAAGGTTTTTAAAACCCTAGCAACATGTTTGATATTATATCTGCTTTAAATTTGATTAAAGTTACATAATTGTTGCATCAGAATAACTTCAGACTTCAAAAATCTATCTGCAGCTACAACTGGAGATCAATTTGCATTCAAATCACTTTTAATACTCAAAATGAAATCATTTAAAAAAAGATAGAAGAAAACAGATAACAGAAAAAAAATTAAAAATTGCCTGAAAATGTAATACAAATATGTTGTAAGGTCATATTTAACTGTCTATAATCTCACCATTTGAACAATTATGAGTCCAAATAAAAATGTTTTTAATATTTTGACGCTGGCCCAGCATCTTACGTTCTTGTATTCAGCGGCACAAAAGCAGGGATTGTGTTAGGGTAGCTGTGTGTGTCTGTTGTTGTTTTTGTGTGTGTGTGACTTGGCCCATGTGAAGCTGTTGTGTCTCCATGTGTCTTGGCAGTGGTCGGGGAGAAGGAGAAGATGACTAACGGCGTCAACGTGCGCACACGAGACAGCAAAGTCCACGGAGAGCTGTCGGTGTCCGAGGTGCTGGCCCGCCTGACCCTGCTCAAACAGAGCCGCTGTGCAAACGCTGAGGAGGAGTTCTGATCCACACACACTCATACACACACACACACACACACACACACACACACACACACACACACACACACACACACACACACACACCATGTATACATCACTTCAGGGGACATTATATTGACTTACATGCATTTCCTGGAGACTTATCCTAACCTTAACCATAACCAACACATGCCTAACCCTTAACCTTACCCTAACCCTAAACCTAACCAAGTCTCCACCCTAAAATTAATGATTCCCCTCATGGGGACCTCCAATTTGTCCCCATAAGGGAAGCCAGTCCCCACACGTGACTATGTAATCAGATGTAGGTCCCCACAAGTATAGTAATGCTAGACCACACACACACACACACACACACACACACACACACACACACACACACACACACACACACTCACTCACTCACTCATACCTCCACTACGGTTATTAATGGAGAGGGGCATGGGATGGCACATGTGAAAATGGTACAGAGAAAGTGTAATCAGACAGGAAATGATTTTCTGTGAGCAAATGTGATGAAAAGGGATTCTAAACTACATTAAATTGCTCATTAATCATATGTGCAGGGTAGAAAAGGACACGTTTGTGTACGATGTGTTATACTAATGTGGAAGTCTAATCCTGAAGGGAAGTTGCTCAATAATTTAACAAAACAATGTGAAGATTGTTATAATGAAGAATCTGTGAATTTGGCACTGATTTTCCACAAAGCTCTTTCTCTGCAGGGAAATAAAATAAAATGACTGAATGTTTGTTTTGTTGTTTTTATTTTCACAACAATAGAAATGTTTTCTTTCAGAATAATTACATGTTATGATAAATAGCAGTATTTGGAAAATCTGCTGCTTTAAATATTGCCTTCAAACTCTTTTATTTCAGTCTTTTCACACTAAACTAGGGTTTTTGGTGATATATACTATGTTTTTAAGATATCATACATTTTGGAGGCCACCTTTGATTATGGATGTGGTGAACGATACTAAGCTCAGAGAAAGGAGAACATGGCATGGGAAATGTCGTCTCAGCAATAGGCTAACATTTGAGCAAAGCTTTGACTTCAGGCCAGGGCTCAGAGGTGGTAAAGGTACTCCAAACTTGTACTCGAGTACAAGTAGAAGTGCTCAGATCTTGTAGTAAAAGTAGAAGTATCAGAGTGTAGGAATACTCTTACAGTAAAGTCCTGTATTCAAAATGTCACTCAAGTAAAAGTAGAAAAGTATTATCATCAAAATATACATTAAGTAGCGACAGTAAAAGTAGTCGTTGTGCAGATTGGTCCATTTCAGAATAATATATATGATATGTTTTATAATGATTGATCATGAAAGTGTTCTCAAAGCTGGTGAAGGAGCAGCTAGTTTGAATGACTTTGTATACTGCAGGGTAGCTTGTGGATTTACTCCAGGTGGAAGTCTGATTTAACACTTGAATATATTTCACATCATTAATCCAGATCTGCAAAGTAACTAAAGGTGTTAAATACATGTAGTGGAGTAAAAGTACACCATTTACCTCTGAATTGTAGTGAAGTAGCAACAAATGGAAATACTTAAGCAAAGTAACTCAAATTGTACTTACTGTACTTGAGTAAATGTATTTTACACCCACTGTCAGGGGTACATAGGTACATATACAGACTAAAAATAATAATAAAATAATAATAAAGACATTCAGAAAATAGTTATAAAAACAAAAGGTAACATTTCAGGTTAAATATTTATGAAATGCCTGTCCCAATCTGCTGCACCTTCATCCCTTGCCTGTAGGATCGTACACGCTCGTTTTTCCCACATGCCCTGAACGCATCTCTGGTTAGCTACAACAATGGCTCCTCTCTGTCAGATCTGGAGACCGGACCGAGGACGCTGCTTTAAAACCTACGGGATCATCTTCGTTTTGTTTACAGACCTGGTCTTACAGAGTGTTACCGGTATGTGGAACAGTTACTTAATCAACCCAGCTCTGAATAGATTACATTTGTCGTTATCCTACTAACGTTAGCTTCCTCCCAATGAGTTAGCATTAGCTGGTTAGCCGGCGAGATCCCGTTCATTCCTATTTTTTTATTTAACCTTTATTTAACCAGATAAAAGCATTGAGATAGAATCATGAGAGTTCATTCCTGGTTTAATTTGAGATGTTAAAATAATTGTATATTTATATTGACAAATGTCCTAGTATTTATATTTTATACATCTGTTGTTTTTGTAGGTGGGTGTTATGAATTGTATTTCATGTTTGTTGATTATTATGTCTGTACCTGCCCATGGACTGCAGATGGAAATCAGTTTTTAGTTATAATCTGGCATATAGCATCTCTTCTCTTTTTGAGACTAATTCATTTGTATGCATGGGCCTTGTTCAATTAAGATATATAATAATAATATAATAAAAAGTTACTCTGTAGCGCATGAAGCCTAAAACAGCGAATGTAGATTCAGAAAGTACCCGTTTGTGGGCCCATTGAGCATGCGCAGTAGAGTGTTTACTAAACCCCGCCTCCTTTTCCCCTGCTCTTGGCTCAGTGAAATTAATGGAGAGGAAATAACTCTGGATTTGGCTTTTAGCGCCTTTTACACATTTTAGACCCTAATAATGGCCATAAAACTGTTCGTGCTGGGTAGTTTATTCAGCTAAAAAAGAAATACACGCTGATTTACACGTCTCTTTCCCAATGTAAGTCACAACGACGTCAGGGAAGCTGTAGTACCACCGATTAACCACAACGGACATTCGTAAAATCGGCTTCAACCAGCGGATCACTTTCAGGTGGGGGGTTAGCGATGAAAACATTGGATAGAGTGAGTAGCGCTGATTCAACAGACGTGTATCTGATAAAATAGACATTATCGTAATTAACATGGTGTTTAAATCATAATATATATGAGAGCTAACAGTTGACTGTCCCCCTGTTAATTTCAAGAAGTGTCCCTAGTCAGTTAACGCACCGGTGAAGGAACTGTAACTATCTTAGCTTTAATGTTTTATTACAATATAGTCATGCAGTATAAATTGCTTCAGCGTATATTATACTTCTTATTTATATTTAAACATAGCCTGCTTGTTTTGTAACACGCCAATGCAGCAAAAGTTAGTGGTCATTCACACAGTCAGCCCACAATATGGATAGATAAATACTTGTTGTCACAGCAGCAGTATTGTCAAGCATCGCACGTGAGCTAAAGATATGTAAAATATAGAATAAGATAGAAATGTAATAAACAAAGAAATGTCCTTAACAGCAAAGGTTTACATATTCACAGTAGAAAAGACATACATCACTAGAGTATCTAAATAATTCACAATATAAAGAAAATACTGAAAACTCACATAAACATAGTGACATCGATCGGAGTGCATGTACACATCATAATTGTGCAAAGTAGCTGTTGTGGGTATTGTTCTGGATTGTAGAACATGAGAAACTTAGCTATGGAGCAGTGAGTTCATAACCTTGGTTTAATCTGAAGGATAAGTATAATTGTTGTTGTTTATGTCCTTTATTGTCTGTCTGTGTGCTTCTCAGGGTATCTGAGCTCTCCTCATGTGGGTAAGGAGCCTCCGTACCCCAGAGAGTCCCAGCATGCACCTGTCATCACCAGCCCAGTGGTGCCTGCTGCAGCCTCTGGTAAACACTTAGAGATAACATAAATAATGATGAATATGACCTGTAACTGAGGTTTATTTAACAATACAGCTAAAGGCGACCACTGTTGGATTGTGTTCTTTTGTTTGAAGACCAAGAGTTAGTCTAAAGAAGACCAGGGAGCTTCTCGAAAAGTTTAACAGTATTTATTAATGCAATGGTATAGTAGGTTTACAAGGGAACACAGCCGTGGTTCCTAAATTCAATTCACTGTCCAAAGTCAACTTCAAGCAGTTAGCTGTCTTCGGTAGAATGAATGAAAGAGAACGTTTATATCGTATTAGTCTTCATCCATTGGCTGACGTAGACAGGGCGGGTCTTCTTCTGTAGCCTCTGATGACGTAGCTGTAGCGTATCCAGGGGCGGATCTAGACAAATATTCATGGGGTGGCAAGAGGGTGGCAGGAGATTTTGAGGGGTGGCATCCCCTGACAGAAGTATATGCTGATTTAAATCGCAATCATATCAATCAATTAGGGGTGTAACGGTACCCGTACTGAAATTATTCGGTACGGGCCCTTCGGTTTGGTACACGTGTGTACCGAACGAATATAGCGTTAAACGTAAAAAATTGAGAACATGAACAACTTTCTGGAAGTAATCTCAGGTATATATCATAGAGCGACCAAGTCATTTCATTGGACGAGAGGCATACTATGAGAGCTGGTGACAGGGATGCGTTCAAATGTAGTCAGTAATTTGAAGAACTGTCGAAATGGCGAACGCAGATAAAGTTGATCTGAAAATCCTCCAGCATCATTGAAGTCTCTGGTTTGGGAACATTTTGGTTTCGCAGTTACGTACAAGGATGACGGACAAAGACAGTGTGGACAAGTTCATCTTTCTTTAAACAACATGAAAATACAATGACAAGCAAGTCCTAATGTCAAGCTTGCTGCTTAGGTGCTAGTACAGTTCAAATACAGATTATTTCAGTTCATCGAAATGCTGCACCGTAATGTTTATTTTACTATATTTTGTATTTATTTGAATACATTAGTCAGTTTAATAATAATTTTTTAAAAAAATGTAATGTTTTGTGATATCAGTAAAGCCTTACATATAAGGTGGCAGACGTAATTTAATGAATTTTTGACTGAACAATAACTGAATGAGTTTGTCTCACTCTTAGACCAGCAGGGGAACCAAATATATACAGACTGCTGCAATAAGTACTTTAATTAACTGTCTCATCGATGTTTGTCTGAATGAATATGATACTATTAACAATCATATTATTCCTATCAGCTGTCAATCACTGTTAATAAATAGTAATAATAATAGATTTAATTTGTTAGCGCTTTTACAGGTGCTCAAAGACGCTTTACAGATATAGTGAAGAACTGTTATGATTCACATATTCATTTAGTATTGAATAAACTATATTTTTTGGAGGAGTTAATAATGAATGTTCATCCCATTGTAAAGCGTCCTTGGGTTTCGTGAAAGGCGCTATATAAATTGAAATTATTATTATTATTATTATTAAGATGCTTGCTCACCCTCCTTCAAATTTGAAAAACAAGTAATTATATCATTATTGATATACAGTTACAACCTTGCCTTTACATCAGAAAGAACAAACATTAAAGAAGTGACTAACTGCATCAGTTAGGGTTAAAAAACGTGTATTCAGCTAAAACATCGCTGCAGTTATTATCCAGTGGACGGTCCTTACCTACTGGCCTAGTTCAATCAAAGTGGTTACTTTCTGTTGGCTGGGCAGTGTAGTTTTACACACCGTCTTATTTTACTTCCTCAGGACTTAAAACAGTTTTTTGGGGGCAGACCCCCTCAAAGAAAAAAATATATACACACATACAAGGTCATCATCTTAACAGTTTGTTATTCTCATCGAGTCGTCCGTGAGCAGAGCATCAAGTTGGCATGTCTATTACAGCTGAATGCGGCGATTACTATTTTGTTCAGCAAAACGCCTCACAAACTTATTAAGATCCAAAGCTTTAGTGCGTTTTGATTCAATGCTGAGTGCAGCCAAACTGACAGTCTCTTCTCTGTCATTGGAGACCGCAAATACCTCATTCCTTCAGTGCTTGGGTCCGAAAGGCTTCTCGTTTTGCGCCGTCCCCACGTTCAAGTGAATTCGCCACCAATCATATTTCCACTCTCGCGCCAGGACCGGGGGAGGGGTTACATGACGTGCATCTTGTGCTGCATTCACTTGCACTCGGACATTAGAGACTTTCTCTCATAAATGTCCGATGAGCCACAACTTTTCTTTCAAAACAAAGATGCCAACTGGGGTGGCAGCTGGGGTGGCAAGGCTATTGTTTAGGGTGGCAGTTGCCACCCCGGTAGATCCGCCCCTGAGCGTATCCCTTATGGTATTTTAATATACAATTAATCTGCTGTTTGTTGGTCATTAAACACTTAATAATAGTAGTAATGCAGCGTCGATGAGTTGGAGACGGTGTGTTTAGTTACTCCATGCGTCATTCTCCTTATATTCACATACACAATATACTATGAGCTGCATGCTACTATGAGGCTAAAAACAATAACAATCTGAAACCGTAACTCCAAGGTGTCGCCCACATCCGGTCCGTGGAAAACCCTTAAAGTTCCGGCACAATATATTGATTATTTCTCACAAATGCGTATACCTACAAAGAAATACAGCAGTATTGAGAGTAGTAGGTAGTAGGATGATTTAAAAACATACATACAAGACATTTTCCTACGTTAGAAGGGAGCTACAGAATAAAAAGGGATTTCCCCCAAAGATTCTGATATTCTAAACTGCCGGGGCTGCAACTATCAATATCGTATCATTTGCAGAACATTTTCTCGATAAATCGATGAAATGTTCTGTAGATCGTCAGAAAATAGGGGAACATGTCCATCCCAGATTCTAACAAAACTCTGATTGGATGTTTTTACATGTATTTCATTTCATACAGAAGCTATTCTTCTAAAATGTATTTTGCTTTTCGAAATAACACACAAACCAGACCAAGAAAAAAACAGCTTTTCAGTAATAATAATTGGTCAGCTTTTAAATACATGAATTACTTTTTTTTTGTTTGTGCTGATCTCCAGACAGCTTTAATGGAGTAATCAGTGATTGGCCGTGCTCAGTGTTAGTAATTTACCTCTCACTGCCTTATTTTCTAGATGTGTCTTTAGAGTGTTTTGTTTACAACTGCATTGCCCCACCCAGTCATGATCCCAGACATGAAGTCATAACTTTAAAGGTCCCCTATTATACTGTTTTTCAATATATTACAGGTCTCGGATATATACAGAGCCTGTCTCTGATTGGCTGAAACACCAAACAGATCATTGCAGCATTACCCATAATCCCTTCTGTTTCAGCCCTGTTTCCAAAGTGCTGATTCTCTGTCTGTTACTTTAGATGAAAATAAGGAGCCCCTCCCCACGCCCCTCTGAGAGAGGTTTGGTTAACAAGAACTCATTGGCTAATGGTTACTCAAGACAAAACATCGTTATGACATCACAAAGTGGCCAAAATCTGATCAGCTCATTTTCAGACAGGTTTTTATAGAAATGGATCAGGACAAAAAGAGAGAGAATCTTTGTTCCTGAAACTTTCAGAGTCTCTTTCCACAGAGGGGACACATGTTGATGTAGAAGAGACATGAAGAAGAGGGGACACATGTTGATGTAGAAGAGACATGAAGAAGAGGGGACACATGTTGATGTAGAAGAGACATGAAGAAGAGGGGACACATGTTGATGTAGAAGAGACATGAAGAAGAGGGGGACACATCTTGATGTAGAAGAGACATGAAGAAGAGGGGACACATGTTGATGTAGAAGAGACATGAAGAAGAGGACACACATGTTGATGTAGAAGAGACATGAAGAAGAGGACACACATGTTGATGTAGAAGAGACATGAAGAAGAGGGGACACATGTTGATGTAGAAGAGACATGAAGAAGAGGGGACACATGTTGATGTAGAAGAGACATGAAGAAGAGGGGACACATGTTGATGTAGAAGAGACATGAAGAAGAGGGGACACATGTTGATGTAGAAGAGACATGAAGAAGAGGGGACACATGTTGATGTAGAAGAGACATGAAGAAGAGGGGACACATCTTGATGTAGAAGAGACATGAAGAAGAGGGGACACATGTTGATGTAGAAGAGACATGAAGAAGAGGACACACATGTTGATGTAGAAGAGACATGAAGAAGAGGACACACATGTTGATGTAGAAGAGACATGAAGAAGAGGACACACATGTTGATGTAGAAGAGACATGAAGAAGAGGGGACACATGTTGATGTAGAAGAGACATGAAGAAGAGGGGACACATGTTGATGTAGAAGAGACATGAAGAAGAGGACACATGTTGATGTAGAAGAGACATGAAGAAGAGGGGACACATGTTGATGTAGAAGAGACATGAAGAAGAGGGGACACATGTTGATGTAGAAGAGACATGAAGAAGAGGGGACACATGTTGATGTAGAAGAGACATGAAGAAGAGGGGACACATGTTGATGTAGAAGAGACGTGAAGAAGAGGAGACACATGTTGATGTAGAAGAGACATGAAGAAGAGGGGACACATGTTGATGTAGAAGAGACATGAACAAGAGGGGACACATGTTGATGTAGAAGAGACATGAACAAGAGGGGACACATGTTGATGTAGAAGAGACGTGAAGAAGAGGGGACACATGTTGATGTAGAAAAGACATGAAGAAGTAGATTTCGCATAATAGGTGACCTTTAAATCTGTGTTACATTACTTTGATTATTCTTGCTAACACTCCTTCAACATTCTGCTTCCTGTTGTGCAGTTTCTCCATCAGATGAGGAGAGCTACACCTTCGGGTGTCCCAGCGGGGGTTTGTGTCAGCGCCTGCCAGCCAACTGCATGCTCTGCAACTTCCAACACAACTGCACCTACGCAAAAGCTACTTCCTTCACTTGCAAACCCAGGAAAGGAGTTCACTGTATAGTAAGTAGCACTTCATCTTGTAATAGACCTTTGTTGTATGGAGGGAGAGAGAAGTGTTATTTGTTATTACTCAAGTTCATTGATTCAAAGGGAAGTGAAGCATGTTGAGTCTTGACGTGCTCGTAGCAGCTTTGAAAGTGGAAGTTATCTTAATGATGCTTCACAAAAGGCCCGAAGACAAATGGTTTTGTAGTTTAGTGAGAATTTGTTTATTTGGGTAATTAGAATTCATCTAATTACTTTAGTTGCTTTATTTAAAAAAAATAGTTAAATAATAGATGCATTAAAAAAAGCCACATTATTAATATAAACATTAGAAATTATTAATGTAAGAATATGCAATAAAAAGATAAAAGACAGTTATTTATATAAACTCAAAAGATATAATAAAATGAAGGTATATAATCATAAGAAGGTAAATTGATATACCAATAAAATATACAATTAAATAGATTTTAAATATTTATACAAACATAAGAAATTAAACTAAAACTGCACATTTTGCTAGAATATAAACAGTGTATTAGTATAAATAAAACATGACTTAAAGGTCACCTATTATGCGAAATCCACTTCTCCATGTCTCTTCTACATCAACATGTGTCCCCTCTTCTTCATGTCTCTTCTACATCAACATGTGTCCCCTCTTCTTCATGTCTCTTCTACATCAACATGTGTCCTCTCTTCTTCATGTCTCTTCTACATCAACATGTGTCCCCTCTTCTTCATGTCTCTTCTACATCAACATGTGTCCCCTCTTCTTCATGTCTCTTCTACATCAACATGTGTCCCCCTCTTCTTCATGTCTCTTCTACATCAACATGTGTCCCCTCTTCTTCATGTCTCTTCTACATCAACATGTGTCCCCTCTTCTTCATGTCTCTTCTACATCAACATGTGTCCCCTTTGTGGAAAGAGACTCTGAAAGTTTCAGGAAAAAAGATTCTCTCTCTTTTTGATCCATTTCTATAAAAACCTGTCTGAAAATGAGCTGATCAGATTTTGGCCACTTTATGATGTCATAACGATGTTTTGTCTTGTGTAACCATTAGCCAATCAGCAACCAAGGTAACCCCCCCCCCCCCACCCTATCACCTGAATCTCCTCCTAGAGCACCATTGAGTTCTTTGTAACCAAACCTCTCTCAGAGGGGCGTGGGGAGGGGCTCCTTATTTTCATCTAAAGTAACAGACAGAGAATCAGCACTTTTGAAACAAGGCTGAAACAGAGGGGATTATGGGTAATGCTGCAATGATCTGTTTGGTATTTCAGCCAATCAGAGACATGTTCTGTATATATCTGAGACCTATAATATATTGATGAAAAACGGTATCATAGGGGACCTTTTTAAATCCTTAGTTCAATGAAAATAATCAAACTTGTGAATATCTGTGTTTTGGTACCTGATGTGTTTCTGTATGTTCCTCTCAGGGGGAGTCGGGGCAGCAGCAGGCGAACTTCTCTCTCTCCATCAGCTGTCGGTTCTGCTGGCAGTTGGACCCGTCCCAGTACCGCTGCTTCAACTCCACCAGCTGCATGACGGTGTCCTGCCCGCGCCGACGCTACAACGCCACCTGCGACGTGCTGGACCACGTGCACTGTTTGGGTACGGAGATAAAACACTCTGCTGTTTCAAGATCCAAGGCTTTTATTGTCATGTGTACATAGCTACAGTGTAGTTATGTCAATGAAAATCTTAGGTCTCAGGCTCCTCCGACAGCAACACAATAACACAGATACAATAGTGCAAGTAAACAAATAAAATAGAATAGAAATAGTGCAATTAGAGTCTAGTGTAATGCCTGCATGGTGCCTTTCCTCCGGAAGGGAGATGTACACTCAGAGGTCGAATCCTTTTCTCAGAATCAGAAACAGGTTTATTGCCAGGTAGGTGGACACGTTCGAGGAATTTGACTTCGTCGTGGTGCATACATAAAAGTAAAACATATTTAAAGGGGACCTATCATGCAAAATGCACTTTTGTACGTCTTTTATTCATGAATATGTGTCCCCGTTGTTCCAGGGAACTCACCAAGTGTCAGAAAACAGAGCCCTCTCTATTTTTCTCCATACCCAAATCTCTAAAAAAAAGGGGCTGCAACGGATCTGATAAAAACTGATCCAGATTTGAACACTTTACTGACAGTAAAGTGGCGCTACGGCTATTGGTCAATTCTCCACCAATCAGGGGAATGAGAGGTTGGGCCACGGCCGGCCATGGGACCTTATTTCGGGAAAATAATGTATTGAAGTCAATGGAGAGAGAAAATGTATCTTTCGATCCCGTTTGAATTGTGCCACGAATTACACACATGATGTTTGTCAATCTTAAAAATTAATTTCCATGTCAAAAAATTCACAGTTTGTCTTAAAACTGTTGAAATATAAGACTATGAAAAATACGCAACTAGAAAGACTACAAATCCCAGCCTCCAGAGCAAGTCGGACAAAATGACTAACCATCATGCAACGCACTAGCAAGACGTTGATCGCAATTGCGCAGGTCTCGCTTGTCTCAAACAAGCCTAAGAAGAACAGACTGCGTGATATAAACAAACAACAAATAGCGTGTGTTCCATTTTCACTCTACAGCGAGAAGCTCATGGGGCTTTCCCTGATCTGTGTCGAGAGCTGGAGTTCAATGAAACCTCAGATTTGCCTTCTTAATCGTTTGTTTGGGTCCCTCACTTCCGTTTCGCTTCTCATGCACTGATTCGCTAGCTGAACAGCCAATCAGAGTGATTTCTTTGGCCGTAGTGCAGATCAGGCAGGGCTGCAGATCGGGTAGTGACACTGGACACACCAATCTGAGTAGGGCGACCATCGAGGGCGACAGGACGCTCATCGACGGCCAGACATCTATCGACGGCTGAAATCGGCTCGGTGTGTCTGGACCTTTAAAGGTTCTTTGAAGAACTTTAATAAAATATGGAGCCCGTTTTTGTCTCTCATAGAAACTCTGGATATTATGCCTAACAGCTCAGAGTCCTTTAGGTTCATATTATTCTTATTGTAAGAATATTTTTGCTCACAGTTTTCCCTTATTATTATTTATTTAAAATGTATTATTATTTATTTAGAATTTATTATTATTATTCGTTTGTTTTTTGTGCTTTAATTGTGTTTCTTACCTGAGGTCGAAGCGGGTTGGGGTGGGATGTTTAAAATAGAAAACTGAAAGTGAGCGTTATGTATTAATACAAAATAAATAAAAAACAAAGAGAATTATTATAAGAAAACTATAATAACATTAAACATAATAAAAAATATAGTTCAATAAAATATGGCAGTATTTACAATATGATAGAATGGAATAAAATATGTGCAGTAATAATAAAAGAAGCCGAGCTCATTGATAAAAGGGAAATGAAGCATGGTATGTTAAGTTGTGATGTTGCTGGACCGACATCCCGAAGACAAATGGTTGTGTAGTTTGGTTAGGGAATTAGTTAATTTAAGAAACCCGAATCAATCAGAATACTTTAATTGCTCTGTTTGAGGAAGCGACCTAGTTCAAATTCCCAAAATGACCCTTTTCCCCTCCAAACCAAAATGTTCTCTCTCTTCATATCTTTCCATGTTAATAGAAATGTTTCCACGTAGGATTATTAGTTTGTTCCTCTAGTATTAAAGTATTGTTTTATTAGATGGAGTTTATGTTTGGCACACCATGTCCACTAAATCTTTTTTTCTCTTGCAGGTAGGAGAAGTTTTCAGAAACGTTTGTATTGTAACTGGACCGGGGGATACAAGTGGTCAACATCATTAGCACTCAGGTAAACCAACTGCTACGAGAGCTGCCACAATAAGGGAACTAATTGATTCGTTGATCTAAGTTGCATCAACTGTTTTGATAATCGTTTAACTTTGCAATTTATTAATCATGCAAAAATGACAAATGGTTTAGCCTCTCAAATATGGAGAATTTCTGCTTTTCTCAGTTTTATTTTATATGAATCTATTTCTTTAGGATTTCTTCTGACAAAACAAGAAATGTAAAGCTACACGTTGGACTTTGAAAACCCATATAGGCATTTTTCTCAATTGACCGCCATAAAGAAAAGGAATTAGTAACCATCCGGATCAGATAACGCACACGCACGCACACACACACACACACACATACACGCACACACACACTCTAGATGTGTTCCAGTCTATGGTTCCCCGCCATTATGTGCCCGATCCCCCCATGTGAAACACACACAGAACAATTGGATACATTTCCCGCTCTTATGTGCCCATCCCCCCACATGGATCACACCTGGCACACGCAATACATGTTCAGTGTCTATTCTTTGTATATTTATTGCAGTTTTTCATGTATACCAGTAGTCGGATACAATATGTACAGTTTGAAAGGGTGTTAAATTAAATGTGGTGATGATTAATGGTTTTTGTGTTAATGTAATAGCAGTTAAAACAGGACCGGTCAAATTTGACTGCGAACACCAAAGTAAGGGGGAAAGCGAAGACAATAGGAGGTTAAATATTGTGCAGTAAGATCAAATATAAATACTGTTTATTACAGTGATAAATCAATTGTAAAATGACAACAGATGAATGCTGTTGGAGGCACTTTACAGAGCTCAGGTGTTAAGCAGTCTGTGGGATGAAACTCACGTTGATTGTGTTTCCTCCCGTGAAAACTCAACATTTTTCTCATTTGATAAACTACTCAAGAGAATAATCATTATCATCACCAACCCTAACCCTGCCACTCGTATCACAGTTGGACCATCTTAGATGCTGGAAATGTCCTACAAACAAATGTTAATCAGTGTGTGTGCCCTCATAGCATCTCTGACGTAGATTGTGTGTTTCCTCCGTGTCTCTGCAGCATCACGCTCGGTGGATTTGGGGCTGATCGCTTCTATCTGGGTCAGTGGAGAGAGGGGCTGGGGAAGCTGTTCAGTTTCGGTGGCCTCGGCATCTGGACTTTGATCGACGTGCTTCTGATCGGAGTCGGATACGTTGGACCCGCCGACGGCTCTCTTTACATCTGAAGCTCTGGAGAAAACGTTCGGACGCTCGGTGCCCTCTTCACTCTCTGAAGACTGAAGATCTGTGTCCTCTTCACTCTCTGAAGACTGAAGTTCTGGTCTCTCTTCACTCTCTGAAGACTGAAGTTCTGGTCTCTCTTCACTCTCTGAAGACTGAAGTTCTGGTCTCTCTTCACTCTCTGAAGACTGAAGTTCTGGTCTCTCTTCACTCTCTGAAGACTGAAGTTCTGGTCTCTCTTCACTCTCTGAAGACTGAAGTTCTGGTCTCTCTTCACTCTCTGAAGACTGAAGTTCTGGTCTCTCTTCACTCTCTGAAGACTGAAGTTCTGCTCTCTCTTCACTCTCTGAAGACTGAAGTTCTGGTCTCTCTTCACTCTCTGAAGACTGAAGTTCTGATCTCTCTTCACTCTCTGAAGACTGAAGTTCTGCTCTCTCTTCACTCTCTGAAGACTGAAGTTCTGCTCTCTCTTCACTCTCTGAAGACTGAAGTTCTGGTCTCTCTTCACTCTCTGAAGACTGAAGTTCTGGTCTCTCTTCACTCTCTGAAGATCTGTGTTCGCTGCGCAACACGTCCTCATCCCATCTGCTAACCGGCAGGAAGTGTTTTCCTCTTCACACCAGCCACGACTCCACCCACACACACACACACACATCAGATCCGTCTCCACATCACTCTCCTGTCGAACGCTCCGCTGATGGATCTGATGAACGAGGAGACGCTCAGTATCTGAAGTTTGTCCGTTGGTGTGACTTCACTGCTGATGTATAGATAGGTTTCCTGTGGAGCGGGACACACACACACACACACACACACACACACACACACACACACACACACACACACACACACACACATATATACATATATATATATATATATATATATATATATATATATATACACACACACACAGAGCAGTGTGTTACTACCCCCTTGTTGCAAAGGTAAATGTGTCAATGGGGGGTCAAGTGGTAACCATGGCTGCCGAGCTTTTAATGGGGACACCAGAAACAAAAGGTAATATTTCTGTGCCGAGGGAAAGCATGAATACACAGAAGGGAATTTGTTTTCTTCTTTATGGACGACAGACAGTCATTCAGTGGTTATTTAACATTTCCCTACATTGAGTCAGGACACAACTGTAACAAAGCGTTTGTAATTTATTCGTCTTAAAGGGATAGTGCAGATTTCTTTTGTGGGGTTGTATGAGGTGCTTATTCAGTAGATGGCATTATGCAGGAGTAGAAGAACGAAAATGAATACCTAAAATAATTGCTATGTGTTAAATTTCAATCCTCCACCTTACCACAAAACAGCGCTTTACTGACAGGGAACTGAATCTTTTATTTACTCATTAGCCAAATGGCTGAAAGAGTTTTTTCCACCCACTCAATAACTGAAGTAGCTGATGAGTGCAGCAAATCTACTGGGGCTAATTTTGAGCACTGATTGTGTTTAAAAGGGTTAGTTAAAATACACAGAAGTCACGCATAAACTCAAACCGATCCGACGCTGCAGTAGACCTGAAATACTTTCTCATTTTGTCTGGTGCCTGATCATTATTTATTTCAGTGAGTCTTTAATAGGTTAGTTTTTTGAGGTTATATGTGTGGATAAGTACCTCACACATAAAACAAATCTGAACTGTCCCTTTAAGGATTATATTAAATGACACCCTGGCTTCAAATGTTGTCAACTTTATAAAATAAGAGTTGAAAACTGGAAAAAAGACACGCAGGGGAACAACAACTTAATTTCCTGTCATCACTTACTGCTACATGATTTTTTGGAAATGCAAAGATAATGATCTCTTTCTCTGATTGCACATAATGAAACGAGCGTGTTGCACTAGCAGACTGCAGCTATAAATGTGGTTTCCCGTGCTGGAGATTTTGGAGATATCCTGTGCATCCGGCTGGTATTTCTTTCCTGGCTCATTATCGTTCTTCACATTTTCGAAGCAGCTCTGTATCTTCTGTTTTAATGAGACGGTGTGGCGCTAATGGGCTCCTTCGCACTCCATGTAAATATGTGTTCTGTTCCTCAGTGGCAGGTCATGTTCATCCGTTTCAAACACTGTAAATGACATTTTTTAAGTTCTGTAAATAAAATTGTGAAATATTAAACGTGGTTAATATGATGTCGGTTTATCTACAAGTGTCTGTCCTCGACTTAAGAAATTATTGTTTATCTAACCTATGTGATTTTGTCAATACATAGATTAACAACACTGGGCTTTCCTGCAAAGAGTCGAGCAAAAGCACATCTTAAAATCTTGTGTTTGCACATTGCTTGTGTTTATCAGAGATGTGCTTTTGAAATAAATGAATCGGCATGTCAAAAACATTCATAAAAATCTATAATCTGGATAAGAAATCTTGTTTAAAGGTGGGGTAGGTAATTCACTTCAGAAACACTTGTTATATTCCATGGAATGCTCTTAACATCCCGATAGCAATGAATATATTAAATGCTTTGACAATAAATACATAAAAACATGTCATCAGTGGAAGCCGTGGCGCTGTAAAATGCACGACCAATCATCTGAGACGGCCCGGCTAAAGTAACTGGACGGCCTACCTGCCTGTCAGCTTTCCATCTGTGCACAAACTTATCTCGTGCCCTCATTGGTCATGTGCGCGTTCGTGTGTGTGTGTGGCAGATTTTTTCCGGTTGTGTACTTTCAAATTCTAGCGCACTCGAGCTGGTTTCTCCAAAAGTACCTACCCCACCTTTAAATAAGGGTCTCAAAGCAGGGACTAAGCACCCCTTTGACTACAGACAAGAGCAGAAATTAAAGAGGACATAAGATGCTCATTTTCATGTTCATATCAGTCTGTAGTGTCTCTACTTTAAAGAGTCCTCTCCTGCTGATGTTCAGGTGTATATCAGTATGTAGTGTCTCTACTTTAAAGAGTCCTCTCCTGCTGATGTTCAGGTGTATATCAGTATGTAGTGTCTCTACTTTAAAGAGTCCTCTCCTGCTGATGTTCAGGTGTATATCAGTATGTAGTGTCTCTACTTTAAAGAGTCCTCTCCTGCTGATGTTCAGGTGTATATCAGTATGTAGTGTCTCTACTTTAAAGAGTCCTCTCCTGCTGATGTTCAGGTGTATATCAGTATGTAGTGTCTCTACTTTAAAGAGTCCTCTCCTGCTGATGTTCAGGTGTATATCAGTATGTAGTGTCTCTACTTTAAAGAGTCCTCTCCTACTGATGTTCAGGTGTATATCAGTATGTAGTGTCTCTACTTTAAAGAGTCCTCTCCTGCTGATGTTCAGGTGTATATCAGTATGTAGTGTCTCTACTTTAAAGAGTCCTCTCCTGCTGATGTTCAGGTGTATATCAGTATGTAGTGTCTCTACTTTAAAGAGTCCTCTCCTACTGATGTTCAGGTGTATATCAGTATGTAGTGTCTCTACTTTAAAGAGTCCTCTCCTGCTGATGTTCAGGTGTATATCAGTATGTAGTGTCTCTACTTTAAAGAGTCCTCTCCTGCTGATGTTCAGGTGTATATCAGTATGTAGTGTCTCTACTTTAAAGAGTCCTCTCCTGCTGATGTTCAGGTGTATATCAGTATGTAGTGTCTCTACTTTAAAGAGTCCTCTCCTGCTGATGTTCAGGTGTATATCAGTATGTAGTGTCTCTACTTTAAAGAGTCCTCTCCTGCTGATGTTCAGGTGTATATCAGTATGTAGTGTCTCTACTTTAAAGAGTCCTCTCCTGCTGATGTTCAGGTGTATATCAGTATGTAGTGTCTCTACTTTAAAGAGTCCTCTCCTGCTGATGTTCAGGTGTATATCAGTATGTAGTGTCTCTACATGTCTCCATGCTTTAATGTTGAAAAAGCTCTTTATTTTTCTCATACTGCCCTAACCTCTTTTCACCCTCTGTCTGAAACCAGATCCCAGTCTGCTCTGATTGGTTAGCTGGCTGGCTCTGTTTTGATTGGTCAATAGCTTAGAGATGTCCCTCCCCTTAGCATATCACGTACAATGTGTTGGAGCGCTAGCCAATAGAAGTGAAAGTGTTCCGTAGTGATGTCACTACTGAACGTTCCTGAAGTAAACAAAGGAGTTCAATGGAGGGAACACAGGCATTGTAGCCTTTGCAGACCATTTACATGCACTAAAACCTATATAAGACACTACAGGGAAGTGAAAACCCCAAACAGCAGAATAGGGCCTGTTTAAATGTGGATGACTTTCTTGTCCATTTACAATATGCATCATAAATGTTGCTCAGCCTGCAGAAACGCTGTTCATTTACTTCTGATGCTACACATTTGAATTAGAGGTCAGTATTATATCAATGTACGTGTGCATAGCAGATGCTCAGTTTCAAGCAGCCATGATCCTTAGCTTCCTCCTTGAATACCAGGCTCTGATTGGAATTGTCTATTATTAGCAAGGCAAGGCAAGTTTATTTATAGCACTTTTCTGTACGGGACAATTCAAAGTGCTTTTCAAAACAAATTAAAATACTTTTTAGGAATACATACATTAAAAACACATTATACAATTTTACAACAGACATTACAAAGCAAAGATAACAAAATAATAAAAAATAAACACCACAGGTAAACAATACATGTTTAAAAGGCATACTGTAGTTTGAATATGATCATCTCAATTAAAAGCAGCGGCAAAGAGATATGTTTTTAGTCTCGATTTAAAAATAGTGAGCGTTTCTGCGGACGTGCGTGATTTGGGTGGTTTGTTCCAGAGTGTCGGGCATAACAGCTAAATGCTGCCTCTCCATGTTTTGTTGTTACTCTCGGAGCCGATAGCAGACCCATCCCAGAAGACCTGAGGCACCTTGATGGCTCGTAATTATGTAGGAGTTCAACAATATACTTTGGTCCTAAACCATGTAATGATTTAAAAACTAGCAATAGTACTTTAAAATCAATTATTTGGCTGACTGGAAGCCAATGTAGAGATTTCAGAACCGGACTGATGTGATCCACTCTTGTAGTGTTAGTGAGGACACGTGCAGCAGCGTTCTGGATCAGCTGCAGCTTTCTGATGGATTTGTTTGTCAGCCCTGTGAAGACACTATTGCAGTAGTCGAGTCTACTGAAAATAAAAGCATGGACAAGCTTTTCTAAGTCCTGTTGTGACATTAGTTTTTTAATCCTCGATATATTCTTCAGGTGATAATAAGCAGACCTAATGACAGTTGTAATGTGGCTGTTGAAATTCAGGTCTGAGTCCATCACTACAGCCAGATTTCTGGCTTTATTAGTGGTTTTGTAGTCTGCCGACTGAAGCTCTGCGATTACTTTTAATCGGTCCTTCTTTGCTCCAAAAACAATGATCTCAGTTTTTTGTTTGTTCAGTTGGAGAAAGTTCTGAGTCATCCAGTCAGTGATGTGCTCAATGCACTTGCTCAGTGTTCTAATCGGAGAATAGTCTCCCGGTGTGATTTTAAAATAAATCTGGGTGTCGTCTGCATAGATGTGATAGCTTAGATCGCTCTTTTTAATAATTTCAGCCAGAGGTAAGCCCGAAGGTCTCCGCCGGCGGGTACCCTTGTTTTTTTTTCTCACGACACTGTCTCTCAGGGGATCTTAATATTTAAGAATCTATTAATGTGTTATACCAGATTAACGGGAATAATCTCAGCTAACTGACGATACAAACCATTTAAACCAAAACAAAACACAAGTCTCATAAGAAGCATCTAAATGACCCCTGAGCGAAAAATGCTAACCTATTACTGCACCGATAATCACTCCTAGCTCCCTTATTACTTATCCGGTGCACATCCAACACATCGTTTATGATCGCAAGGAGACACAGAATCTAACGGTGCCCACCTCAACACTGAAAGTTACAAAAACGTACAT